CTCTTAGATGCTGAACAGTTGAAATAAACGTACGACAGTCCGGAATTCTCCGATTTGGAAACCGTTCGCGATACAGGATTTGTGCTTGCCGAGAATTTTCTCCAGCTGCCCCATAAACCAGCACTATATCCGTTAGTTCAATATTCGTAAATAGTGGCATCGTAAAAAAATATTTAAAAGTAATCGTAACAACACTTTTTACCAACTTGGAAATGACGCGCTCGTGTTAGCCAGATTCGTAAATCAACTAAAATTTTAATAATCTATAGTTTCAAAAATGTATAGTTTAAAAACAATCATTTATCAAATATTCTAGTTTTTTTGATAACGAGGGTAGTAAAAACCAGTCTTCGGAAATAGAAATTAATTCGAAAATCTTGGCAACATGGTTATTTCTTACAAGACTAGTTTTCTTATCATCTGACAAAAACTTGCATATTAATTACTGTTGATGTTTAAAATAGGTAAATAAACCTAATTTATATAGGTCATCCTCAACATATCAGTGAAGTACGTTTGTTTTAGAATTAATTTTCAAAAATTAATAACTCCCTTAATAAGGGGTATTTTTAAAAAATAATATTTTTCTACATTCAGTGGGGATCTGCGCAATACCCAGTTTTAATATGTACGTGTATTTCAATAACACCCTGTATACATATAAACTGCTGTATTTCAAGCTTTTCTATGCAAAACGATATACCTATATGAATACTTTCCCTACACTGTGCATGTTTAAAACTATATGGATGACATATTTTCAGTATTTAAAAGTGTACAGAATCACATAAATATTATAATATGTATTGCTTACTTATTTTTTTTACCTTTTTTAACATGTCTGGATTTGCCATCTAACTACAGAATTGAGCTGTAACGTTAGAAAATAAAACATCTCTTAAAAATGGTAATTTTGTCTAGAATCTTTGTCATCTTCCAAGAAAAGCTGGTTTTCTATTTCCGTTTTTAATAAAATTCAAATAAACTAAATAAAAGAAACACAAATAGAAAGTTCCAAATATAAGGCGAGTTTTTTTTTTAAACTGAAATTCATCATTGATGCCTGTCAATTACGTCATAGATTGTTTACCGATGGAACGATTAATAGTTAATAAAAAAACGGATTTTTTTCGTGTCATTTGTCATTTTTGACAGAGCGTTTTTTATTATTATTGTGTTATTATTTATTCAATTTAAGTCGATTTTGCTGTGTAAGTTTTGTGTTTTATAGAAAAATGGGCGACGATTTAATTAAAAATGTTAGCGCACTTATTGCAACGAGAAGTAGATGGAGTAGCTCATCGGATAGTTCGGATGAAGAATTATTTATTTTGACAGCTAAAAGAGAAAGACTGAAAATTATAAATTATGTGCAAAACCCGAGAATACCGATCATGGAGAAGCGACAGCTTGGTGTTTTCAGGGTACCGTTTTGATACGCGCATGTGCGAAACTAAGTTGTGTATCACTCAAAATCATATAATCTGTCAAAGTCAGTCCAAGTTGTGTTTAGTCTGTGAGCTGTTGAGTGATATTTTTTGGTGTTTCTTTATGTTGTAATAGAATGTCTGTATCTGGATATTTTTGTGCATACCGTTCTTGTTCGTCCAAAACAGGCCAAGGATTAAGTTTATTTACTTTTTCAAAGGACTACGAACAGTAAATATTATGATTATTAATTGCTATTAACCCTAACTACTTCAATGTAATTAAATCACATTACAACATTTGCGCATGGACTATAGCAATGATTTCAGATAATTTGCCAAACTATTTCGCTCAGTGTAGAAAATAAGCATGTTTTCTCAGCGTGCTAAGTTGTGTATCAATCAAAGTCATGCTGTGAAAAAGGTCCATCCGATATCAAAGGCACCGACAGCTACTGTCGCTTCTCCTTGATCGGTATTCTCGGGCAAAACATTGTATTAAATTATGATGACATAGACTTTAGGTCGCATTTTAGATTGAATAAAACCGCTGTTGAGGTAAATTTTATAGGTGTAAGATTTTTTTGTAATTAAATTACCCATCTATCTTTTTAGGAAATCTGTCAAGAACTAAATTTTGAAAGAAGGATAACACTTCCTGGGAGACCACCACTAAGACCTTTAGATTCTATATTGATTACGTTGTGGGTACTTGCCAACCAAGAATCTTTTAGGGGAGTCGCAGATCGGTTTGGATTGAGCAAGGGACATTGTCACCAAGTTTTTATTAAAATATGTAAAAAAATATGTAAACTCAGAGAAAGGTATATTGTTTGGCCAACAACAGTAGAGGACATAGAAACATGTGTGCATAATTTTAATAATTTGAGGGAAAATGCATTTCCAAATGTAATTGGATGTATTGATGGGACTCACATTTCTATAAAAGGAAACAGACAAGATAATTCTTTTTATAATAGAAAAGGGTATACATCCATGATTATGCAAGGCATCTGCAACAGCAAGCTTGAATTTATAGATGTGTATTGTGGATGGCCAGGTTCAGCACATGATTCCCGTGTGTTTACAAATTCTCCTATACACAATAAAATGGATACAGAAGGAATTATACCAGAAAGGTATCATTTATTAGGGGATTCAGCATATCCGTTAAAGACATATTTAATGGTACCATTTAAAGATAATGGGCATTTGACCAGGCGTCAAAAAAAATTTAACCGAATACTAAGCAGCTCTAGGGTTGTCATTGAAAATGCATTTGGCAGGCTCAAAGAAGTTTTCAGAAGGTTGAAATATTTAGACTTAGGCAATTATGAATACTTCAAATTTATTGTTATAGCTGCAACTGTACTCCATAATTTTATATTAAAAAATAATATACCAGTCGATTATAATCCACCAGAATTCGATGAAAATCTAGATGACCTTAATCAAGCTTACGATGGTACTGAGATGGCCAGGGCCAGACAAAAACGTGTGGATATAATGAATTCATTCCCTTAAAATGTTTTAAATAAACACTTTTACAATCTCCGTTTTTTTTGTTATTCTTTGCAGGTAGGTACTACAATGACGATTTTTTAAACCAACATTGAGTTAATATTATGTGTCCTGTAAACTTTGTTAGTATTGAAATGAAAAATATAACAAGAGAAATAAATGAAACAAGTAAATTCACAAATGCTTTATTAAATCTTTGAACAAATAGAAAAACAAACAACAAAAATCATAATGGCATATTTCTAGCCTCAAATCTAACAAGTACAAAAACAAAAGTACATTCTTAGTCTACTCTCTCTCGCTCTATCCAATTAAATTGGAATTAAAAGTTATACATATTAAAAAAATATATAAATAAGCAACATTAACTAACATAATATCTAATTTTTGACTAGATTCAATCAGAATCAGAACTATGGCGTCTTTTTTTAGAACTAGATGCCCGAATTGCATCTGCTAGATTGTTCATCGCGTTTATTTCTTGTTCCTTCAGCCCTTTTTTTTCTTCCCAAATAGTTTCCATTCTTTGTGTTTTATAGAATAAGTATTCATTTAAACACATTTTATTTTCTTTTAATACTTTTTGCACCTTTCTTTCTTCATTTGGTTTTGGCTTTTCAGCTTTATTTTCTTTTTCTACTTTTTCTAATGATGAAGACAGTAATAATTCTTTGGGAGCACTTGACTGCTTTGTACCAAGAACCTCATCGAATATGTTAAAGTATTCCCAAGTAATTTTTGATTCTCCAGTCATCTTGTGCCTTTTGTCATTATTAAATCTATAGGTTTGTAATAAATTCCTATATTTATTATAACATTCGTCCCCTGTTAAATTGTAGCCTCCGACTGTTTTCATTAGAATAGATATTTTCTGCCACAGTTTTGTTTTTTTACAGGTAGGCATATTAAATTTGTCCTCCTGTCCTAAACGGTAGTCCAGCAATAGTTTTATTGAATCGTCTGTCCATTTAAACCGTACATCTTTTTTGGTATTTTCTTGCATTGGTACTGGTTCACTGGACTCACTCTCATCATTCCGGTTCTGCTCTGGGGACCCTGATCCTAACCCTAAATCAATCTTAATAATACTAGATGTACTACTACTAGGGTTTTGGTTTCTAGTTTCTAACTTTTTTTTTAATAATTGTTGCTGGTATTCGAGTTTTTTAAAATATTGTATTAGTTTGGTAGCATCTGAAACAAGTATTTACAAAATATATAAAATTCTTATTGTACACGGCTTAAATAGTAGGTACCTACCGTTAGACACTTCTTCAATTTCAGTAGCAGTTAAAAGAGCCCTTATGGTTTTGTTTTCGTGTTCTAAATTTACCTCTATTAAATCATCCATTTTTCTAATTTTAAAGAAATTTATTTTAATTTTTGAGGTTAATCTCACAAAACACAAGTGTTAATCTCACAAAACACTCACTCTGGTTAAGCTGTCATTTTTAACAATCCATCGATATTTGCCCACCACTTCAAAACCTCGGTGGACAGATATGCAATTCCGATGTACACAGCGGTAATAAATGAACGCGAGATCAAACAAATCTAAAATCCATCAGAGAATTTATGAACGCGTTTGGTGGAATGGTGGAGTCACCGGTGGATAAAAAAACAGCCGAATACTGACAAAACGTTTGACATATTTATGACGTTAGAAAATCTCGATTAAATAATTTAATCCTCCGATATTGACGGACTAGAATAAAATCGGATTAAGAATGATTTTTATTACGGTGCATAGCTAAAAATGGTACTAAACGCGATTAAACCCTTGATCTGGATTAAACATGTACGGTGCATACGGGCGTTATACTGCGGATGTTTTTCGTTGTAAATGACATCTACATGACAGTTCACGCTTAACGTCATTTGCCCCGTTCGATTCGACTTAGTACTAACGGACATGGGCTTAGGTCCTTTTGGAATTAATACTGCGCATGTCTTTTCATTGAAAATGCATCTAAATGACATTTAACGCTGATTGCCGTTTGTCCTATACAATTTGAACCCAGATGTTATATATTAGTAGTTATTAGTACTTACTGGTGCGTCCAAAATTGAAGGTCTGTTAAGAATTTCAGTACCAAGATCGCCGATTCCATTCTCTTCCAAACGAGGAGATGTTCTTGATCTTTTTGGTGCACGAGCAGAACTTCTAGTTGAACCAGCATCTGAATTTTCTCTTTTTACTGGAGCAGCCTGTAACAAAAAAGTATCAGTAGTTAATTATAAAATAGTATATTACATAAATAGACTGAAAACTTTAATAATCAATAATTAATAATCAATAATCAATAATCAATAATCAATAATCAATAATCAATAATCAATAATCAATAATCAATAATCAATAATCAATAATCAATAATCAATAATCAATAATCATCACAAGACGCTGAAGGAGAAACTGATTGCAGCCCAGGAATATGAAGCGGTAAAACTCATATCCAGATCTTCTCGCGCAAAAATGAGAGAAATTAAATCCCAGGAAAGTGAGGAGACCCATACTAATGCTGTTCCCCAACCTGCCCTCTCGCAAATATTAAATATCCTGCAAAATATACAACGAAATAACCAAAATAAGAACAGAAGATGCTTCAATTGCGGAAGAATCGGACACCTTCAAAGAACTTGTAGAAGCAGAGCTCGTTCTATAAATAGAGAATCAGGGAATGAAGTCGGAAAGTCACAAAGATCAATCTTCCGAAGCTCGTCACGAAGTCCAACAAGAAATAGTCACAGCAGCCATGCGTCCCGAAGTAGCCAATCACCCACACCGAGCCGGTTTTCTAGCAATAATCAGGAAGTAGAGCATCGTAGAGTCCAACTGTATAGCAACGCAGACATTCTCTCCAGGCGACGCTGTTTAGAACGAGAATGCCAGTACAGTAAGTGGCTCGGAGAACGGGAGGAACCAACCCGTTGATAAAGTTACCCTTCGGGCAACTACTATCAAGCTAGAGGGCGACGAAGAAAAAATTACCCTTGAAAGTCTGAGACAGGGACAGAAGAAAGACAATGACTTAAAGGTTGTTCGAGAATGGCTGAAAAATAAAGTCACACCTACTTGGCAAGAGATAGCCAAATACAGTAGAACTATAAAAGGCTACTGGACCCAGTGGGATTCCCTGTATCTTCACGATGGCCTATTGCACCGGAAGTGGGAGAGCCCCGATGGAGTACATGTAGCCAAGTGATACTGCCGAGGTCACAGGTGAGAAATGTATTGGAGAAGCTTCATAGCAGCCGTTCAGGAGGACACTGGCACGAGTTCGGGAAAGATTTTATTGGGTCAATTGCCGACGAGATGTATCGGATTGGTGTAAAAGATGTGATGTATGCAATGGTAGGACAAAGGTCTATGGATTCGCTCGGCAACGTTTGAAAGTCAATAGCGATAAAGCAAAAGCTAGAATCGACATGCACGCCACAGGAACACATTTTGAGAGAGGCGATCCAGTATGTTTGTACAATCCCAAGCGCCGAAGAGGACTTTGTCCGAAACTGCAACGGAACTGGTAAGGCCCCTACACCGTCCTTAAGAAAATCAACGACCTGATCTACCGCATTCTAGACATGGGTAACGCAGCGCTGCCTTATTGCGTTAACGCAGTTGTATGCGTTACGAGCGTTGATACACCAGCTGTTACTGTATCAGCGCAACGCAATTTTCGATACTGAGTCGAAAGGATCGCGAGTTGTTGATGCGCGATGCGCCAGGCACTGATTCCGTTTTCCGTGGACGAGTTGAGAATTTTAATTTACGTAATTGATACAACTCGTAATGCAGATTACCCAAAATCTATCAAGTAATTATGTTCTTTGCAACATTTGTAGGATTGTAGGTCGAATTTTATGAATTTTAACCTCGTACACTGTCAGTTTTTAGTTCTTCCCATTTTGATTGGCTACTATTATACAAAAGTTATATCCTTTTTATATAAATTGGAATTTTTGTATTCTTTGTAAAATCCGAACACAATGAAATAAAAAAATGGGTGCATTACATTGTTATATTTTCGTTTATTTTTAAACATATAATAAAAAAAAAATTAGTTAAATTCCCAATTGCGATATTGCCTTGAACACACGGTTTGACCCTTATATAAAGACAGCCCGCGCTGAATTAACACCGGTATCATGCGATATACCGAGGTGCAATAACGCAATAGAGTGCGCCGGAGTTAGTGCGTTACCCATGTCTACCGCATTCAGTTGTCAGCGGGAAGTAAACCCAAAGTAGTTCACATTGGAAAGTTAGCGCCATACTGTGGTCCAGATCCTCCCCATTGGTTCCAGCCAGGTACCAGTAATGAAGTTATTCGGGGCGAATAACTAGAGAGGAGGGAGCAATGTTACGCAGCACCCTGTAGCGTGCTATGCGGTCGTCATAAGTAAAGGTACGAGTAAATGAAGAAGATAGAATATTCCCGAAATGTCTCGAAATGTCATTCCTTGTCAAAGAAAAGTCCAGATTGTTCGAGAAGGTTCAAGAAGGCGAGGCAAGCTATATAAGGCGACGACCTGACGTCAGTGGAGTCAGTTTTATGATAGACGTTAAACGTTAATGTTATCAGTTAAAGTTATTGTGTCAGTTGAGTTGAGTTATTGTAAAAGTTGAGTTCAAATAAATTGTGATACCAAAAACCAGCTTAACAATATTATGTGTCCAATTTGTACCAATATGGAGAATTTTTCTTATTATACTTATTTAAACAAACATTTGCTCACCATATATCTATTAAAGAATCTGTTTTAAATTTTAAGAATTTTCATCTTGGAGAGCACAGGAAAATAAGGAAGTTAATTATGCTTGTCAGACAAGAAACAAATTTAAAAATGGTGAAGAACGCATATTTTACAATTGTAATAGAAGTGACTTCAAAGGTTGTATCAATTTTTACTTGTTAAACATATGTATTTCTTAAATTTATTTATAGGATTTAGTGGCTCATGTAAAGTACGAAATATTAAATCTGGGGGAAGTATTCGCATTCGAGGAACCTCAAGAATTCTAGTGAAAGTATTAACATATGGTAATTAGTAGTATTTATTTAATAATTTTAATATTATAATTTTATTAATATTTTTTATTAGGATCAGTTCAAGTAAAATTTCTTGAAACTCATGTCGGACATGCAGATGAGCTAAGAACAAAGAGACTGTCAAAGGCTGAAGAAAATATTGTAGTTGTACAATTAGCTGCAGGGGTGACGAACAACAGGATAATTCAAGATGCCAGAAAAATTCAAAATAATACAATAGAAAGAATAAACTTGATAGCATATTTAGCATATTTAATAAGGAAGTATAATATTGACAAAAAAAGGGACGTTGATGATATGACAGCTACTACTGTGAAAATTGAAGAATGGAACAGGCAAGGAAAAAACCATGCATTTTTATTCAAAAGAATTGGTACGTACATAAAAATACATTTAAAAATATGTAATTTTTATAGGGTTAAGGTTTAGATGGTGAAGGTATAGGTTGGGTTTTTATTTTTAAGTGAAAGTTACCCTGGATTAAAGGATGAAGATTTTGCAGTGGGTTATATGAATGGTGTTATGGAAAAGAAATTAAGAGACTTTAAAAGGATCATTTGTATTGATGGAACGCATGGAACAAACCGAAGAAATTTGGATCTTACAATACTTCTTATTAAGGATGAGAATAATATGGGATTTCCAGTGGCATTTTTACTTTCAAACAGGTTAGATCAAACAATTCAAGAAACAAGGTTATGAATTCCTATGAAAAACCCAGAAGGCTTCTTTGTTTATGGCATATAATCAAGAATTGGAACATCCAAGGTAGATCAAAACTTAAGAAGGCAGAAAATAGACAAGAAATGAAAAACGATATGAAAAGAATATTAAAAGAAACTAATATTACAAATTTTATGGTATTAAAGAAAAACTATTTCAGATATTTGGAAGAGGAGGATGAAAATGTTTTTTTGAAATACTTGCAAAAGTAAAGAATATAGGCTATATTAAAAATTAAATCAAACAGTGATATTTGTTTTTAGCTACTATTTCCAGAGTGAAGAAAGGATCATGACATGGGCCCATTGTTGAATTAATGTAGGAATAAATACAAATATGGCTATTGAAAGTTTAAATAAAGTATTAAAATATAACAAAATGAGTGGACGACGTAATCTTAGGTAAAAATACTTTTATCAATTAGACAAAACGTGTAATGAAAAATGTTGATATAATAAAATTAAAATATGATTCAAATTTTTTAGAGTGGAAAAGTTGCTGGATTTGTTGGATGAGAAGATGTGGAAAAGGACAATTAATGCTGAAAGGCCAAATGCAAACAATTATCAACACAAAATTGTTGTACAAGCCCATAAAAAAGCAGAAAATATGAATGCTAAGGTAGAAGTTTTGGAATTTGGAAAATTCAAAGTGCAATCTTCAGTGAGTAATAAATATTATGTAGTGTCTTGTAATTTTTTATGTGATATACAATGTCGTACTGGGTATTGTAATAAATGTAAAATATGTTTACATAGATATCAATGTCAGAGTCCAGAGAATGCTGTAAAAACAGTACAGTGTAAACATATACATGCTGTAGCTTTGTTTGAGGAGAGAAGCGAGTCTGTTTTAGGTTCCTTAAATACTGGAGAGGATGAGGATGGTGTTTTGTGTGTCGAAGAGCCTACAATTAGTCAGTTAAATTATCAAGATGATGTAACCCACTTTATTCAAGAGAGTTCGAAAATGGAAGTTAATAATTCAATAATTGAAGAAAGGCGAGAAGTAGTTATGTCAAAATATAATTTGTGGTTTTATTACATTCTATATAATTTGTAGATTGCAATAGAAGAAATTTGTAGTATTAAGAACAGTAATTTAAATTTTTGTTTTATGTTTACTACAAAAATCTGTTGAATACGTTTGAACCGTGACAATTATATGCCAGACCTAGAAAAGTTTCAATGCCTAATGCATATTAGACCAAAGGTTTACTTCTCGACATCCAGAAAAATGTATTGAACTTTATTTAACCGTTAGGTTATCATGTATAATAATGCATATTTTCAAAAAATATACATAATACATATTTTTTTAATTAGTAATTTTAATACATTTGTATTTAGGAGGTCCTTTCGCCACCAATGTTAAATAAAAAGTATTAGATTATGACTAATATTAATTTTTTTCTAATAGTAGAAGTCCTTA